ATAGACAGTGTTAAATAAAAAGGAAGAACAGCAGTAATTTTAAAATTAAAAAGCAATGAGTAATCTCCTGATCATTTTAAATGGTGTTTTGAATTACATATGCAGAAAATATATTGGTCTCCCATGGAAGCAGCTGTGGAGGCAGAGCATAGCCAACATGGCTAGTAGCCTTCAATACAGCCTTATCCTCCATGAATTGTCTGATCCTCTTGTAAATCCATCCAAGTTGGTGGCCTCCTGTGGGAATGAGTACCCCAGTTTAACTATGCATTGCATTTTATCTGTCCCAAATCCTGCAGCATTCAGCTTCATTGGAGATCCCTGAGTTGTAGTGTTATGGGGGGGGAGCTTTTCTATGGCACACAGTTGCCTTCAGTAAAGACCTCCAAATTCACAACTCAGTGAGCATGCGTGTAAGATACAGGCTCACGGCTAGAAACATACAGCAAAGGAGGCTGAATCAAACTAGTATGTGTATGTGTCCATATTACAAACACCCTAAAATCGTATTGACTGAAAAGAGTCTTAATAATATAACATCCTTAAATATGCAGTAAGGTGCTTTATGCTGAGACAGACTCTTGGTCCATCTAGCCTAGCACTGTTGGAACTGATTGACAGCAGCTCTTCAGGATTTGAGGCTGGATTACAACCTAGAGATTGAAGCCAGAATCTTCTGCATGCCACACACGTGCTCTACCCCGAGCTACAAACCATTCGCCTAAAAGCCAACTATCTCCCGCTTCCTGCTTTCTTTTCATTTATATTCATTGGCTCAGCTGACATTAAAAATGAATGGTATGTTCTTGTTCTTCTCTTCTGGCTCGGTAAGTGGGATGCTTGGGTGTCCATTCCAGTTAACTGGCCCACTTTGAAAGCACTTCATTTATTACATAATCAGTGAACAGGAGAAGAAGTGCAGGAAATGTCTTATGCCTTGAAATACCAAAGTGTCTGGGCTTTTTAGTTTGAAAAAGAAGATAACTAAAGAGCCATGCAGCTTGAATTGAACATCACACCCTGAAGAATAACCAAGCAAAGAGGCACAGAGGGGCAATTTTCGGGCAGTGGAAGCTGTGTGCCCTGGAACTGAAATATCATGGGGTATTTCTGGCTAGGGTTTCCTTCTCTCCCAGGCAGCATGTGTTGGTTGGATTGAACAAGTGAAGGGCTTGAGGGTTTCATGCTGGAATCTTACCCAAACTATTAACTTCCGAATTATGATCTAGAACGATGCTGAGGACAGTCACAGGGAAGGATCAAAGAAGATACATTGACGGCAGCAGAAAACCACCAAATACGACAATCCCAAATACGTGTGTGTGTCTGTGTGTGTTTGTGTGTGTGGGCACATGCACTCAAGAATCAGTAAGTACCTAAACATAACCCAAGGGACCGTGCTCCCTTCTAAAAGAATGCCTGCCAGAATTTCACACACCGCAAACCTCCTCTCTCTCTCGCAATTAAAGCATTTTCCATCCTCAAGCAGAATAAGGTCCCCTGTTTACTGTACTTCCTCCTTTCGTGTTACAGGAATAATTTAATAACTCATGTTGTGAGCTACTTTGCAGATTCCTTTTGCTACTGAAATAATTACTGTTTATACAAAGTACAATACTTCATCCTTTGGACACTCAGGTTAGCCATTTCGTTTGACATCATTAGTAGTAATATTGTATATTTGCATTCTCATTAAAAAGCCAGAGAGACACGGATGCCAGCCTAAAGCTTTATCAGTGGAATGCAGGCATGCCCATATCCTAGAAGCATCATGTAATACCATAAACTAATTTCCCCCCCAAAAAAAAAAACTCCAAATAATTACTCTAAGAATTTTGCTCCCTTATCAAGGAGCCTATTCAAAGTATACATTCCCCAGACTGCAGGGATGGGAAGAAACTGAGCTGCAATGTTTGGAAGCAATCACTAAATAAACTTTTGCATGCATTTTTTATACTCCTTCGGCTATGGATCATTCACAATAATTTGCTTGCAGGTGTACTATGTGTCAGGGATTGGCATGGCTTCAAGGAGTGTGTGGCAGAGGCAGTGGGGTCAGAGGCTGATCCAGGAGAAGGGGGTAGTGATTTATGGGGTTTGTGCCTCCCACGAGGCAGCAGCCAGGGCTAGAGGAAGGAGGGGAGTCTGAGCAGTTGGAGATGGGATAGAAGCCAGGGCTGGAGGAAGGGCAGGACATGCCAAGAACAGAAGAGGAGACAGTGCCTGAGACAGGGGTGGTAGAATCCCTTCTGTCCCCTTCCCCACTGTCCCCCAGGACCAAGAGGGGCTTGAAGAGGCAGGCACAGTGACAACTTTTGTGTAGTAGTTGCTGGTTGCTTGCGTGTGCCCCATCAGACAAGGGTAATAATAATAACAGCAACAACAACTTATTTATACCCCACCCATCTGGCTGGGTTTCTCCAGCCACTCTGGGCAGCTTCCAACCAATTATTAAAAACAATACAGCATCAAACATTAAAAGCTTCCCTAAACAGGGCCGCCTTCCGTTGTCTGAAGTTTGGCCAGAGGCATGGTCATGCTGTTCCTCAAATGGTCCAGCTTGGAACATGAGCCTGGGGAGGGGATACCAGCTATTTAGTTGCCAGAGGTGTGTGTGAGTTTTGTGCACCTTAGAAGCTACTGTCATGTGAGTGCTTTGTCAATAAGGAATTAATCTCCTGGCCATTTGTCCTCCTTGGGCTGGGTGTGCTCAGAACACCATGTAATGTTCAATATTTGGGAGCCAAATGCCCTCTTTACAGGTTCAATTGAAGTGGAGGAAATCAGATCTGCCACTTCACTCAACCACCCCACTCCCAATGTCTTCATAGGAGCCCATGTGCAATAATGACTATAATGCAATAATAAACCCTTGGGATTCATCAAGTGCTTCACACAAGGCACTTCACATTCCATTCCATTCCATTCCACTTGCCCATAACAATCTGTAGACATTATGTGGCCACTGAGCATGCTCAGTCCTCCTTAAGCTCTTTTTGAGCTTTCCCTCCCCCTTTCAGTCCCCCCCCCCTTATGCACAGTGTCCTGACAAACTGATTCCTTGATCTGAAACAGTGTTTCAGAATGCCATTAACTGGAAGAACAAGAGTGATTCTAGAAAAGAATTGTCTCCCAGTGCCTGTGCGCAGAAAGGAAAAACACTAAACTTTACATGTGTTAAACATATTTTGATTCCTAAGAGGTCTCATCCCTCCATCATCAAATGCTTCTATTTCTTCAGAGGCTGCATGTAGGTACACTCTGTCATGATTAACTTATATGTCATTGATCTAAGGAATCCTAATCGAGAAACCTTTTTATCCTGTGGAACTAGAAACAATTCAGCACAACAGTACAATGCTAATGGAACTTGCTAATTCCTGATACAAAGCAGGAGATGTTCTCAGCAGACAAACCTATGTTGCAAGGTTTGGAGAGAGCAGTGAAGAATCCAATCCATCTTTACTGAGATGGAAATTGTGTTCTTCGTCTCTTTGGAGCAAATGGGTCTGCACAGCCCACTGGACAGCTTTTGCCAGGCACATTTGAAGAAAGTCGGTCAGCTTGATCTTTGCTGACAACCTCTGAAATTCATTTTGCTTTTTTCAAAACAAAAGAATGAAAAAAGAAAGAAAGATGGAACCACAGCGGGGGGGGGGGGGGATAGGCAGAAGCAGAAAGAATTGCAGTTATCTGGGAATGTTCAGGCAGTGCATCTAGGCACTCAGTTTGCAAGCCTCAGTGAGATCATTTGCCCTCTGACACAAAGATATCATTGCTCTCATAACTTCATGCATTCTATAATCATGGCAAGCAAGATACAGTTCTCTATCCCATTTCCAAAATAGCCTGTGGATACAGCAAGTCATAATTCCAGTGATCACTTTAGTCCCATAATTCCATCATCACACAAGATACAGGATGCACTGGGAACAAGCAACAGTCCTCAGTCTGAGAATGGAGGTGGTCTATATGTCTTCAGGCTTAGCAAGCAACAGAAAGGAGACTATTACAGCATCAATTCACTATCAACCCACAAACAACTCATTCTCCTCAAAGACTTGTGAGCCGAATCAAGGACATCAAAGCCTTCCTGGGTGTAAGCTGCTACTAGGGCTGAGCAGCTAATTCTGTCCCATTTCGGCCTCGTTGGAACGCAAAGGTCTCTTTCATCCTGTTTTGTGCAAATTTTCTAAAAGAATGCATGAAAGCCACACATTTAAATAGTACTCACTTTATACGTAAAGTACCGTATGTACTTTTAGCATAAGATTTGCACTTCTCAATGCTTTTCAGTGTACGCATCCATAAAATGGAAACTTATATGCCTCATTTGCATAAAATATGCATTTTATGCTCACTTTTTCCACACCAAAACTTTACTGCAAAAGCCAGAGAAGTGCAGATTCTGATGGGAGTTGCTGCCCAAGGCATAAGAAAGCTTGAGAACATTGGGTCAACCCACTGCAAAAAAGGAGACCAAAAGCATTCCTCTCCCAATCCCAATCTGCAAGCAGGGGTTTGTTTGCCCTGATCCTACAAACCAACCAAGTCCTTCCCTTTCCATGCTACAAGGACAGATGAAGGCAGTGGCAGTAGGGAACATCTTTGCCAATGCGGACTAGGACTACCATTCCCAGAATCCCTGGTGGACCAGTGGTGCTGCACATGCCATGCCTACCAAGGAGAAGGCATGGGAGTTTCATCCTCAGTGCCACCAAAGGCTCTTAGGAAGTCCTTATCTAAAGAGCTCACCTGAAGGCCCTTAGGGAAAACAGCTTTCATGGGGAACTTCCAGCAACATCCAATTGAAGCTTTTCCTCCCTAAGGGGCAATTGCCATGAGGGAGGGGGGTTCATGGAGATTACACCTAAGGATGGAATCATTGAGCCTCCCCACCCCATGCAGTACTAATGAAAACCAGACACCTCTTTATACCACATTCATAACTAATTATTTTTAATTGAAAAAACAAACCTGGGTGCTACATATTTAATGCCTGGATAGCTCAATTGGTTACAGTGTTGTGCTACTAATACCAAGGTTGTAGGTTCAATCCCTATCTGGAACAGCTGCATATTCCTGCATTGCAGGGGGTTGGACTAGATGATCCTCAGGATCCCTTCTACAACTCTACAATTTTAGGATTCTATGTAATTAGGTCCTAAGTATCTGCCTCAGCGAGATTTGTGTAGAAATTGTCCCCAGACTGGTGAGCCTGAGCTTACTTTTTGATGCTTCATATTCAGTTGGCTTCATATACTCTGCAGAAGTGCCAATTGTGGATACACAAAACATTAGTCTGAGTAGACTTTGGCAGCAGCAACAGAGGCTCTGGTGGCCTTCATGTGATGAGTCACATGTGATGAGCCGCTTCCCACACACAGCCCACCCCAGGCAGCACTTTCCGTGATTGTTCGTGAGTTTTCAACTAGGTCATTTCTGACTCTTTAGACAGAACCTATGATTGTGGAAGAAAATAAATGCAAACTAAACAGGCACTTCTAGGGTCATTTATTACAATGTGCTTGAGTGGGACAGTCCACTGCTATCCTGGCTACTATCAGACACCTTGCTTCCAAGGACCAGAGTGCTTCAAAAAATCACAAGCTTTGCAGACATTTGAAATGCCTGGAGTCTGTTTTTCAATGCTTTCCCTAAACATTTGACTGGTAGTGTATGGGGACTCCCCCACCCCAATTGTCTTGGAAAGCTAGAGGGGTCTCGTGGGTGGAACAGTAGGCTAGGACTAGGGAACCCAGGTTTAAATCCCTGCTCAGCTACCAAGCTGAATGGTGGCCTTGTGGTGTTTACTATCTCCTAGCCTACCTCACAGGATTGTTTTGAGGATCAAGTGGCGAGCATGCATGCTTCCTCATTGGAGGAAGGCAGGATAAAACCATAATAAATGCAAATACCTTAGGTGGGATTTTGCCATATTGTATATGTGCAGAATAGGATCTGCTGGGACTCTCTTCTCTCCCCCTTCTGCCCCATAAATCTTCTCTAGAGGGTTCAGGGAAAACCCCAAGCCCCATGGTGCTGGACGTATGAGCCAGATTAGCCGGGGGCGGTTCTTGCCCAACCCATGAGTCCTACGGCCCTAAGGAGTAGGTTAAGGGAATCTCCCTTCACTGTCTTGGTGCCTCTTAAGTGCTCACCAAACAGCTTACGTGCATTTCTCCCTTTGTAATGCAATCCTGCTGCTGAGACCAACCTAAGACATCCATCCATCCATGTTTAAGATCCCTCCACCTGTCACTAAGTGTCTGAGTAAGGAGTATGGAAGATGTAGGGATAGACAGACATGTCCATTTCAGTTTCTCAGATTATTTTTCCTCAGTCTGATTCAACCTGCCTTGTTTCTGCATCAGTTTGTGGACCCTTTTTTAATGTAGACTACATGAAAATCAGCTTGCATTTTCAATCGGTTTTTATTATCTGCCTTTTTGCATGCAATTTCCCCTTATACACAGCATTTTTGTCCATTATTTTCACAAATATATGAATTGTATGCTTTTTTTGTTTCCAACTTTTTATGGGAGAACTGCATATTATCGCAATATTCAGAGAAGTGCAAAATTTCAGAAGAAACCACATTTGTTACATGTATTGGTCTGAGGAATGCAAATTAGGTATGTTTGCATTAAAATGTAGACAACAAATTCACACAAACACACACCCCAGTCCCTAAGAATAGGTGAAAAATTTTACTCGGCACTTACATAACCAGCTGCTTCTACATTGGGACTTAATGGGTGGATGGTGTCAAGACTACCGACAAAAGATAACCAGGTGCGGGCAGAGAGGCTGTGCTGCTTCCAGCCTGCACTTGTGTACGTTGCATGAGTGCATGTATGCCTAAGTGCCCTGCCCCCATCTGGGGCCAGAGCCAAAGCAGCCACTGCAAATTCGTCCTGGTCAAGCCAAGTGAGTGGCAATGAGCTAGTACAAGAATGAAAGGCACATAGTAGCAGGGGCAGACTTTGGTAATCTTCCATAATATGGCGCCCTGTGCGAGCCCAAAATTTGGCACTCCCAAATGGATCTTCTCAATTATGGGTCTTCTCAATTTTGCGCCCTCTCGGTTTGGCACGCTGTGCAGGGGAACCACCCACATCACCCTAAATCCAATGCTGACAAAAATTTAAAGAATTTTATTCCCCCAGATTTGTTCAAAGCGAAGAAATGCGAAAGCCTTTTAGTATTTCCAATGATGTATCTGGTTAACTTGCACATGGAAAAATAAATTATGGTAAGGGTTTTTTTTGTGTGTGTGCAGATATTATAACTAATTCTCTGGATGCACTGACATGGAAGAAATAATAATTAGCTGAACTAAACTCTGAATTCATATGTCTTTTGTGCATGATTCCTGCATGAAGAAAATTTGACAGCGCATTGTGTAAATTTTGACAAGCATGAAAAAGCCATTTATACCTGTTTTTTCTTTTGTTTTATTAGCTTTGAAAATTATATCCTATACACACTTGTGATGTGCCATTACGTATTAGGATAAGTATTAGAAGGAAAGAGGGGGAGAAGAGAAGAAACTAGAGGAGCTGGAAATAAAAAGGTTACAGGACTCGAGGCAAGAGACGCACATCATATAATGCAGTCAGATGGAGGTGTGAAGAGGAAGTGGCCAATTTGAGAGATATTTCAGGCTGACATTTATCTCTGCTGTGCTCAAGGATAGCAAAAAAAAAAAGGATGTATTCGCAAATATTTGAAACTTATTAGGATTCACACTCAAATCACACAAAAACAGCTTGTTGTTCTTATTCCTTCATGCATTATATGACACACATCTTTAAATCAAAATTGTGTTCTAGGAAGTCCTGACCTAAAATTGAAAAAGCTGGCAGCATCACTGAATTAATAAGCATCCCCCTTTATCTAGCTTTCCCAATATTCATGGATCTGTTGAATGCCTACAAAATTTACAGCAAAATCATTAAAAAATCTTTATGTTTTTATGTATTAATAAAGACATCCCTATCCAACTTTTCTAGTGCCACTCAGGGAGGCCCACAACAATTTAAAATCATAATATCAGAATGCAATAAAACATATATTAAAGTACAGTAAAAATACGACATTAAAAATACAGCAGGCATAAGAGATAAACTGGTTTTCACAGCAGACAGAGAACAGGCAAAAACCTATCGGAATAAAAATGCCTTAACCAACCAATGTGGCTACTCGTGCCACACAGGGAATGGTGTTCCACAATTTTGGTGGTCAACATCTGGCACTTTAAAATATGTCTCCATTACCTGGAATGTATGTGAGAAAGTGACAAAAATTGGGGGACTGTCATGAGGAATTCCTGCACTTCAAAATTTACGGTTATGACACTCTAGCAAACTCCCCATCTGGTAACTTTAGGTCCTCAGTTAAGATGGAGAGGCACTGCCTCATAAGCATTACAAGTCCCAGCAGACACCTAGATGTATGCCTAAGTGTATGGTCTGGTGACAAATCCCAGAAAGAAATGGTGGAACTCTGAATAAACCAAGTTCCTGATCCCTGAGAAGCCCTACAACACAGTCAATTGCATAGTCTGTGATACCCAGAACGCCCTTTGTAGTAACATAACTCAGACTATATCACAGAATTGATTGATCAAGATATTAATTAAAATTTACACTGAATTTTGCAGTAGATATCTCCAGTCAAGTAATGTGCACAAAAATGCATATATGAGTGAGAATAACATACAAAAAATGCATTGTTTTAAATAGATTATTTGCAATAATGTGTCTATTAGGATAAATTTGCACTAAAATGCTAATTTCTTGAGTACTTTTGAAAACAGAACTTGCAAACTGATGTGGAAATACAAAGAAATAAATTTGCTTGGAAAGTATTGAAACTGAGAGAAACAAAAAGTGGCATATTCACCCATCCCTTATCGAAAAAGACTTGAAGCAGAGGAACCTGCTGAGTATTTATCAAATGAAAATAAACTTTAATTAATGATGCATCTGACTCTTTCAAGCACCTACATATATTTTATGCTTGTCATTTATATATTGAATTTAAGTGCTCAAATTGTTTCACATATATTATCCCATTAACCCTTATAACAGCCCTATCAGGTAGGCAAATATTCTTCCTATGTTACAGAAAGGGGCAGGGTTGAGTTTGGCAAGATAGTGGAATGCCCTTTTTCTGAGACGCAATTACTGAAAGGGCACTGCATACATTTCAATCAGAATATATTTTTTGTTCAGTTTCACTCTCTTTTTCTTCCTTTTGAGACGACTTTCAGTGGACCTTCATTTCTCAGTAACTTTGAACTGATTGGATTCTCCATTCCAAGTTGAACCAGTGATATTTTGTTATCTAATTATATAGTGCAGCATATCAGAAGATTTTTTTCCCCACCACTTCATTATGTCAGACCTCCTTATGACTCTAATCAGATACTCAATAGTTCAGGTCTTTAAATAATCCTGTTTGATTGGGACCATTCGCCACTTGAAAGATGTCTGTAGGGTGTTTTTCTTTTTACTTATACTGGCTGCAATCCTATGCATATTTATCTAGAAGTAGGTCCCATTGAACTGATTGAAATTTACCTCTGGGGATTACATAGGATTACATTCTATATTGTCTGTACAGTCCTGCTGAGTTTCTTTATCATGCAGCCTGCATCAAAACAGGTATGCAACGTGCCGTGAATATTCTGTTACACTTATGTTCTTTTTTCTTTTTTTGTTAATACAAACTGTGGAATTGAAGGCACCATGGATGGCACAAATCCAAAATCAAAATCCAAAAATCTTCATGATCTCAATGAAAAGTATAGGGCACTATCCAGCCAAAGTTAAAACATTTCAGTCTCGTTGGTTTCAAGAGAGAAGCTTAGGCCAGAGGAGTGACGGGACTACGCACACCAGGAAATGAGTATTGAAAATGGGAAATGAGCATGGCCGAAGAGAGACAGTATGGTGCTGGACCAAGACCCAGAGACTGAGGTTCAAATATCTGCTCAGCTATGAAACTCAGTGAGTGACCTTAGACCAGTCGTAGGCCTAACCTACCTCATAGGGGTTTTTATGAGGGAAGAAGAGAACCCTCGGCACTCTTTGGAAGAAAGGTGAGATATAAATAAGATAGATAAAATAAGTATAAATGCAGAAACAATAAACTATACTGTGTAACCCAGTCTTACCCATATTTTATTCTCAAAGGACTGTTACAATAGTCCAGGCTCAAAGCAATCAGGATGGAGTTTTCTAAAAAGGCCCGAGCTTGAAGTGCATTTGGCTAAGGATTTAAATAAGTCATGCAGCAAAGATAGAACAGCCATCTTGGGAGTCCACAGACATGAGTTTAATACTTAACATTTATATAGTTCATTTTTCGAGTGTTCAGAGTGCTTTGCATACATCTCAGTAATTATTGCAGCTCTGCTGTAGAGTCCTTATGTCCGAAGCTAGCAATTTCTTTGGAGAATTGGAAACTTGCCTGCATGCTCATGGAAACAGACCCACTATCAGGCATCAGCAACACATCGTCTCTCAAGACAGATTTTATAAAAAGAAACCCAACTATATTTCAAACTCAGCCCAAACCAGTCAACACATAAAATCAAGCAACTCTGTGGAGAGTGATATCAAATTAATAGTAACAAGATGTCAGTTCATAGTCAAGGGGCTTCTTAAAATGATTAAATGCAGGCAAAGAAGAAGAAAATATTTTGCACTCTGAACTAAGTATATTGTTTTGAATTTGTTAGACTCACCTAAATTCCTGGGTCCAGTAGGTGCTAAAATTTAATTAAGGCTTGTGGTATCAAAACTTTGAATTCAGAGCTATGCCTATGTAGGAGGCAAGACCCTCTTGGAATGTAATGCTGGAAACCCCTCCATCATAGGCTCAGGTTGTATATCTGTGTAAATAAACCATACATCATAAAGACACCACAGTTTCCACTGTATGTCATTTCCAAAAGGAAACATAGACCCTGGGTAAGCACAGCTAGAACCCCTTGAATCTCACACCGCTTGGAGACTGGGGTTGCATGTAATAAACTCGCTGTTTATTAATATCAAGCTTCCTATAATATTAGCAAACAGACTAGTATTTCAAAAGTGCTCAAGCCCTGATTACTGAAAAAGCTGTTGCATGTGTCCAATTACTCACACCATGAATTTGAAAATGTGGACTGTGATTATCCTGTCAGGGTGTGATAATAGCATTTTGTCACTTTCTCACATACATTCCAGGTTATGGAGCCATATATTAAAACTTCAGACGCTGACCTCCTTTCATTAGCTGTTGATATTACATTGACCAGAGATTGTTGCCGCAAATGGAAATTTGTATCTTCTTTAAAGCAGTTCATGTGCTCATACAGATCATGATTGTGATAATACTAGTTTTGACTGGTCTACAAAGCCTTGGCCTTTTATAATTTAACTACGTAAGAATTTACAAATCTAATGAGACATTGCTGGGTCAGAGTGAGGGCCATAGCTCAGTGGTAAAGACCCTGAGCTGCGTGCAGAAGATGCCAGGTTCAATCCTCTCAGAGAGAGGTTTGAGAATTGAATTTTTCACCACCTGAGTTCTGTCACATTTCAACCCTTTAGCCCTACTGAGACATTATGAAAGCATGCAAGCTATCATGTGAGGAGGTCCTCAGGGATGAGGGACAGGTGATGCTTCCACCCCTTCTTGTCCACTTTCATTGCTTTTCAAAAGGTAGAAGGCAAATCTCTGTAGCAGGAAGCTGCTTGTATCTATCTGTGGAGGCTCACCATACATTTTGGAACCGTGGGAAATCACAATTCCAAAATGTACAGGAAAGGTGGGGCTTGGGTGATAGCTTACATGTTTTCCTAATGCCTAAATCAATCAACATCCATCATTCTGTTGAGAAGTTTCTTGTAGGGATCTATGCAGTTTCTATGACACCAAAAACATTCATTTCAGTGACAGAGCAGAGATCAGGTAATCACCAACAAATGCAAGGCATATGGATGTCCCTTATCAGGGCAGTGGTTTGTAGAGGGTCCAGAGCCTCTTGCTGTATTGATAAGAACTCAAACAGAGATAAAGGGAGAGAAAAAATAAAAGAAGTATTCAAACTGAGTCTTTATGTAGACTACAATGCTCTGATTATAATGGATCCATTAAATCTGATTAAAGCATTCAAAACAGAACTGACATAATAGGGTCAAATGCGGGGTTCAGAATTAAGAAAAGGAAAGCAGAAATAATGAGTATGCACTTTCAAATTAAAAAGAAGAAAATTCCTTAAAATTACTTTTGATCCCATTAGCGTTAGAAATCAGTACGACAGGGATGTGATTATCAAAAAAAGAAACACAAATCTATATAAAAGTTTTGAAAAATTGCGCAGTACAGTAAAAGCTCAAGTCAAAAATGGCAGGCGCTACATTTATTCCTAGATGCAGTTCAGAGGATAGGGAGAGTGATGACGCCACAGACTTTGTGCTCCAGACACTGCCGATAAAAACAGAGTCAATGGAGGGTTAGGGTAAATGACTCATTATGTATTTGTTCTGAGTCAACAAGAAACACAGAATTATAGAAGCAATCCTGCAAGGGGGCAAAAAAAGAGAAAGATGTTTAGAGGTGCCAAGCATTAAGTTGCATATAATGCCCCACCTCAGCAGGATTGAATTCCCTGCTGGTGAGTGGAGGGTACAAGCCTGCTGGCTGCAGGGCGCTCCTTTCCAAGCAGCTCTCCTACAGGGAAGGCGCATGCAAAACAACACCCATGACCTGGAGTGGCTGGATGCAGAGGAGGGGCAGGAGGCTTTCAGGGGAAGAATGCTCTGAGTTGGGGGATTGGTGGAGGGATGATGATGAGGGACCAGAGGGAGAAGAAAAAGCAGACTGGGAGGTGGTGGTTTCAGAAGCTGAAGAGGAAGACAACTTCATTCATTCATTCATTCATTCATTCATTCATTCATTGTGTTTATATCCCACTTTTTCTCCAAGGAGCTCACGGCAGCAAATGTATATTGCCCCTCCCATTTTATCCTTCCAACAGCCTTGTGAGGTAGGTTAGGTTGGGCTCAAGGTCACCCAGTGAGCTTCATCTCTGAGAGGAGATTTGAATCTTGGCTTCCCCAGTCTTTGTCAGCATGCCAACCACTGCAGAAGGTCATGTCCCTACACTTTTTCCAAAGCAAACTTGTGAGATAGGACAGTTTACAGATGATCAATGAAGGCTGAGAGACTGCAGCTGCATGAAGGGACCCAGGGGGTTCATTGATGAGGGGACCCCAAATGGTTTATAAGCTTTATACACACACAATGGCAGTGCACAATCAGTTGGTCCACAGTAGTAACGACTAAGCAGAAACTATGCCTTCTTATTAAAAGTTACCTTTAAGTATGGGGCATCAATTTTTACATGCTTCAGTTTGTTTTTAAACTAACACCAGTCATTTCACGAGGCTGACAGCTGGGAATGAAAGTGAGTTTTTTTATTTTATTTTCTTCTAGTTCTGCTATAATGTGCTTTCAGCTACAAGCTCTAAATTGCTTTTCTTTCCCTATCTTCAGACAGATGATCACAAAGTAAGAAAACAATGAGAAAAATCTACTGAAAGGAGCACCATACAAACAAACAAAATATACAAAGTGGGAGATGTTGTTAAACAATTGTTTCTTAGCATGATTTGATCCAAATGGGGCCTGATACCTGAGCAGTAGCAAATGGGTGTGGCAGATAATCAACCCGTCTTAACAAGTTCAAAAGCATGATAATGGTATCTTAAACCAGGGCTGAGATGTTGTTGACCCTTCAGATGGTTTTGGATTGGCCATGCTGGCTGGGGTGATGTGAAGGGCCCCAGGTTCCCTATCTCCCCACCTAAAATAAAGACCACAATTCTATACTTACATCCCTGATTGAACATTCTATAGAACTCAAAATGCCTTACTTCCAAGTTGGCTTGTATAGGATTGCATTCTAAATCCTCAGATATTAAAGTGCTTCAAATCAGAAGTTGTTTAAACAAAACAAAAATTGCAAAGGGAGCATCTCGCAACAGATGAACCTCCACATTTCTTGAGAACTTTAGGGGAAGACTTGAAGCATTCCTCCATGCTCTGAGAAGTGTCTTCCTCCTTTCTCCTTGTACCCAATGCTTTCTGGATTTCCGTTTCCATCGAACCCCCAATTTTGCCTCATTATTTAGGAAAAGCTTTGTTGTTTCTGCCAGAAACAATGTCTTCTTTAAATAGTTCGGAGCTTTTCTTCAAGGGTTCAGCAGTTGTACTATTTGCTTTTGATATTGTTTGCAAGATTTTATGTTTAGGCAACTGCCCAAAGTTATTTTTTATTTTTATTTTTATAATAATTTTTTATTAAGGTTTTAAACAAACAAAAAAGAAAAACAACACACACAAAAAACAATACAAAACTTAACAATATAAACACAAAACAGTTAATAACAAACTCTCTTTTCCATTTCCAATTTTAAGTTACTTATTTTCTGGACTTCCTCATACCTCCCTCTTTTGTATTCCAATCCACATTATTTATCCAGCAGTTTCTTTTCCACTTTTTTAATCCCAATCTTTAATTTAATAAAATGTTAAAATATATAACTTCAACTTTTTTAAACCTAATCCTTGGTCTTAATATCCTGTAACTTTAAAGTATTCCCTTTTAAAATCAAATTTCCATTTCTTTAAACTTCTTTAATCTTAATCTTTAATCTTAATCTATCCTTAACTTTAACCTGTGCAGCTGGAAACCACTTATTTTCAGTCCAACATCACTCTAACATTCCTTAATTTTGCAGTGTTTCTGAAGATAGTCTTTGAATTTCTTCCAGTCTTCCTCCATCGACTCTTCTCCCTGGTCACGGATTCTACCAGTCATTTCCGCCAATTCCATATAGTCCATAAGTTTCTTTTTTTTTTTTTTTTAAATCATATTTATTAAAGTTTCCAGAAATATAAAAATACAAAGAAAAAAGACAAAAGAAAGAAAATATTTAAAAATCTTACTTTCATTCCCTACTTTCTGGGACTCCCCCCTCCCCCCCCCAATTGTATTCCCCTTTCCTTAATTTGGTTCTACAAGCTCTCACTCCCAATTTAAAGCTTAATTTGTTTAACCCACTATCCAGATTGAATTGTACAAATCTTACCGCCGTCCCACATCATTAACAGAAAAAGAAAAAGATTTTCCCCAAGATCCACCCCAGTTCCTTCCACAAATTCCCTTTTTTTTAAACACGTCCGATCAAAGTAAAATAACATGCGTAAGTTATGTAAAGAAATAGAAAATAAGAGATATAGAAAAATTCAAAAAATGGTTACACAGCCTTTGGATTTCAAATCTCCGCCCCCCCCTTCCCGGTTTGAATTCCCCATGTCCATCAGTCTATACATTATCAGCTTGGAAGTCTCATTTCATGACCAGATTTCTCCCCAGTTCCATCTTGCCGGTTTTCTTTTAGTTTATTAATTTAAATAATATTTGACTTCAAATGTCCAATCTAACAAAGGCCTTTAATTTCCTTGATCTTTACCACTCCTCCCGTTGTTCTTTCCGTGTCGTAATCAGTCCTTTATTCTTCTTATTCCTCACTTTCTCAGGTTTCTTGTCCTGTTCAGCTGCTAAAACTTTCTAATTCAGAAATCTAGTGTCTCTGCAGAGGTTTGTTATTCAGGAACAAAAACTTACGTCCAGTCCCTTTCTTTCTTCAATAAAAAATTCCATTGTCTTCCTCTGTAGACAAAATACTCTTTCAGTTTTGCAGCTTTCCCAGAAGATAACAAATCCTGTGCGAATCCCAGGGTATTTTTCCACTTACGACCGTTCTTGTAGTATCCCGAAACCCCTCTAGGGGATTGTAATAACTTTGTATCCTCTAATCCAAAAGTCAAATTGTTGCTTATTTTCCAACAGTTTGTATCCATATTATAGCAAATTGTAACAAAATTAACCAGCAAGGTCCTCATAACAAAGTCCTCTTTATATTCTCCAGCTTTGACAGCCACTTTGACAGCTGTCAAAGTCTCCGTCTCTCTTCACCAGGCTCCACGAATCGCCCCGGTTCCCAGGGGGGGGGTTGCATTTTTCTTCTCACCCTCCACTCTTCTCCTCCAGCACATTTCTTATAATTTCCCATCGTGAAATTAATGATTTTTATCAGAAACATACTTCCCTTTGGACCTTGGTTACCCAGTCCTTGTTTTGGAATGCTTACAATAGGGGGGGGGATTGACTTCCTTTTTAAATCGCCCCCGCTCGTGCCAAATCCAAAATTTTGAACCCGGTTTCCCAATTTACTCACGGGTTGTTGTTAATAGTCCAAATTTTCAATAGAAGAAGTCAGCGCTCTCCGTCGAATGGCATGCGGCTGCGCTCGGCAGGGAAAGCAGTGGACTCAAAGCACCACGCCACTCCCGGCACCCGATCCGAAGCCTTTAAAAGGCTCCTTCACGAGTCGGGAGGGCGCTAATGGTGCAAGCCGAGTCACCCATGTCCACGGACTCCGTGCCCGTGGTTTTAAGGGTCCCCGCGTCGCCGGCGCGGTAGGACCCAGCCCCTGCCGAGCAGACTCCCTCCGGAGCTCGGAGGGAGTCCGCCATTCGGCGATGGCGCTAACCCGGAAGTCCCATATAGTCCATAAGTTTCATCTGCCATTCTTCCAGCGTGGGAAGTTCTTGTGTCTTCCAATACTTTGCGATGAGTATTCTTGCTGCTGTTGTTGCATACATAAAAAAAGTTCTATCCTTTTTTAACACCATTTGGCCCACTATGCCCAGGAGAAAGGCCTCTGGTTTCTTAGGAAAGGTATACTTAAATACCTTTTTTAGTTCATTATATATCATTTCCCAGAAAGCCTTAATCTTTGGGCACGTCCACCAAAGGTGAAAAAATGTACCTTCAATTTCTTTACATTTCCAACATTTGTTATCGGGCAAGTGATAGATTTTTGCAAGCTTGACTGGGGTTATGTACCACCTGTATATCATTTTCATAATATTCTCTCTTAAGGCATTACATGCCGTAAATTTCATACCTGTGGTCCATAACTGTTCCCAGTCAGCAAACATAATGTTATGACCAACGTCCTGTGCCCATTTAATCATAGCCGATTTTACCGTTTCATCTTGAGTATTCCATTTCAGCAGCAAGTTATACATTCTTGACAAATTCTTAGTATTGGGTTCTAACAATTCTGTTTCTAATTTGGATCTTTCCACCTGGAAGCCAATTTTCCTGTCCAATTTAAATACCTCCATTATTTGATAATGCAACTGCCCAAAGTTATAAAAGCTTACCTCTAGGAATGCAATTCACAAATATAGTAAATATTGTTGTCATTGCACAAAACATTGTGTACCTACAGGCAGCGGCATAGCTAGCCACTTGGGTGCCTGGTGTGGGGGGGGGTGCTGCAGCTGAGGGTGGGGCGAGACACGCCCATGGGGGCAAGGCGATCCGCCTGTGGAGGCAGGGCAAGCCTTTCTGATGCTTGGAGCCTCTCGGCTGCCTCCCCCTCAGATGTAGGGCAGCTGAGGGAGAAGCAGTAGGCAGGTGCAAGTCCCATGCTGCCGTTTCAGGCAGCGCGGAACCTGCAGGCACCTAAGCCGCCACATCACTCATAAAAAGTTTCATGAGCCCAACTTTGTATATATTTTTTTAAAAAACTCATTTTGTCACACACACCCCTCAGTGATGACACCTGGGGCGGACTGCACCCCCCACACCCTTCTTCCGCCACTGCCTAAAGGGTAGTGATGTCCCCATTGTAACCAATTCTGTTGACATATTTGCCACAATCTCAGCACAGCATTTCGCTGGACCATTCTATTTTGTTGAATTTCTATTGAGATGTGCTGGTAGAATGCATGTAAAGAAGGTGCAAGGGAAATGAAACCGCAACTGAGAAAAGCATTAGGCAATGGTTTCATTTTGGCATAATACTAAACCATGACTTAGCTTTGCAAGAACAAACTGCACAGAGCCTCAGGCTTATTTGCCCCCTTCTCCATCCTCCAGCACAACTGCAAGGAGTTTGGAAGCTTTTGATTCCATTTTAGATTAATTGCAGTTTATTGTCGGCACCTCAACTCAGTTTTACTGTTGTCAACCTTAACAAGAAAAGCTAATATGCTTTCAGGGGGTGAGGGGTGGAAAGCATGACCACTCTTGCCACCTCATGAAAAAAGAGACAGTGAATGGAGGGGGGATTCAGGAGGTTTGTGGGTACTCATCATCATCAAACCTTTTATTGGCATCACATACAAACATCCATAGCAAATCAATACAGAATTCCCACCTTCCCAGTGACACAAAACATTTGTCAAATGAAAGAGGCAAAGCAGTCTAACATTACATCTCTAGGTCTCCAGGGAGATCAAATGTCTGCAATGTGTTTTGACGACAAAAAACCAGATAAAGATATTTAGCCACTAACTAGGTGAGCTCCTGATTATTCCCCAATAATAGAAAATGTATGATCTCTAACTCAGGTTTCCATTTGGGGATGCAGAGTTAATCTAGGAACTGCTGGCAGAGATTGACATATAATTTACATTTAAGAACCATATGTGTAAGAGTTTCCACCTGATGATCTTCACATGGGCGAATTCTTTCTCCTTCCACCATTCCCGAGAACCTTGTGGGTACTAGGGGAACTCCTTAAGGGCACTATCTCACCCATGAGCACCATATTGGCAAACCTGAATTAGAATTAGGATGACGTACTAAATGGAGAAGGCAGAGAGAGCCATGCACTTGCCAAATCGTATTTCCATAAAGCTGAAACATTATTTCATATTACACCAGAGCAAATTAATTTGCAGCCCAATCCTAGTCATATCTACTCCCAGATACACAGGTACAGAGTTTTACCATTAAAGAGTGTAATTATGAAGCCACATTGAAGCACAAGTGTTGAGTCTTATCAGAATGCACAAGCTGAATGCTTTTATTGTTACAGCTGGTACAGAAATTAATAGACCTGAGTAATCCATGGGTTTAATTAAGCATTGGGCAATATAGTTATGTGCACAAAAGTGTTTGCTTCTAAAGGTATTGCAAGGAGAGTTCCTTATATGTGCAAGGTTTCCTATCCATATTCCCAGTAGCTCCCCCCCCCCCCCCTTGTTATGAGAGGATTACTTCCCCATGGCCATTGCTGCAGAACTAATGAGACAGCTACATCACCATGATGATACATGTTTTGTCCTTTGAGAAAGATTACTGTATTTGGGTCTTCTTTTGTTGTGTTTCCCACCTCCATTTCAGGTCATCTTGCCCTATTCGGCAGCCTTAGTTGGAAGAATAATAGCACAGTACACAACAGTATTCAGAAATATTCAGATGATACTATTGTAAGGTATGTACAATATTGTTCTAAAAATGAGAGAACTGCTGTAAATTGATTCCCTAATACTGCCAGTCAATTTAAAGACTCCTCTGAAATGACTTGCAACATCAGGAAGTTCAGTTCTCAGAAGGAAATCAAATAAAATTAGCTTCCCAAATCTCACATGGAAGCAAAAACCAAGTGCTATGAGTGACAAAGAAAAAAACCCTTTGAGGTTTTTTAATGAAATAATAGGTGGAAATAATGCATTGTGACTGAAATTTAAATTAATGTGAATAAGTTCTAAGTGAATAAGTTCACCTGTTACTCATTCCAGAATTGTATAAACATGGGTCATCTTCAATGAAGTTGTTTGATGCTTGTTATATATTGCCTTCCTATTGTATGTTTTCAGGCACGTATCTTTTTAGTCACTGGATGCCAGCAATGACCGCTCCCTGCTTAAAACGGGGGGCGCCCTTTGCGTGGACGCGCGCAGCCCCTAGATCTGGAGCGGCTCCAACAGCATAGGCTTGGTTTGCCTTCCCTCAGGTGGGATACCTGGAGGTCTCCACCTACCTCAGTCAGTTGTCCAATCCCACCTGGGGGAAGCGTTGCCAAGGAGACCAGGCCAGGTAGGGGAGGGATTACCTGCCCACACAATAGAGGGAGGATCTTACCTGGGAATCCTCACTTGGCTCCAGAGCTTCTCCCACCCTACCCACCCTCAGTTAATGTCTTATTTGCAGGTTAACTTTTATTCATAGGTTTTGCAGGTTAATTTTTCTTCGCAGGTATGCGGGCGCTGCTACATTAAGGTTGCTGTTAAAGGGCCGGAAAGGAATTTCCCTGCATTGGCAGGTTTCGCCTTTCCCGTAGCAAAACGTCACAACTTTGGCGGTATCAGGCCTTGGGCGGAATTCTTTAGTCCATCTTCCTCTTTGCGGCGGCCATACCAGGGTTCCCCGTTAAAGGGGTTTCTGAAGGGAGGCCTTGACCATACGCCGAAAGGTCATCATTGCTCTCCCCTGCGGCAGCGGCGTAAAGGGGGCGGCTATCTCTGCTTGAACATATGTTCTCCAGAGCCAGCCCATCCCCCCCACACACACTGGATAACCCTGATGCTCCCTAGGTCCCCGGCTGGGGACTGGGGAGGGAGAACGCCCAATGCCTGAGCCAAGGTCTACCCACATTTGAAATTTAATAAAGTTGTGGCCAATTTAATCCCATAGCACGTTGTCATGAGTCGTTATTCCACATGACGGGACCGCGCGGGATCTGGGGACTCCGCCTGTCCACGCAATTGCAGAGCTTTTAGCAACAAGCAGCCAATGATTAATATTGAATGTACAGATTGACACTAACGAAATGTTAGTGTTGTACACCAAACTGTGGAACTACAGCTCCTTAATTTTTTAATTAAGTCCAACTTGGGGCACATTTGTAAGAAAAGTTTCATTTGACTCTGGCTTGATTTAAGTTATTAGTGTTGTGCTTTCTGACAAGAGATGGCATGCAGTTTCCTGGCTTTGAAATCCCTCCTCTGCACTTCCCCATGTGTTCCCAGCATTTCCTGTTTGCAGCCAAAACTGTGTCTGTCAAGCCTTTGTCAAAATATGTTTGTTCTCCACAACAGCTGAATCCCCAGTGGGCAGTAACCGGTTATGTGCAGCCAATAAGTCTCTATGAAGGAAAATACAATGAAGGTTGGACAGGAAATTCGAAAGACACAAACCCAGTCTGCTTCTGATATTTCACCTTTGGGGACTTCTAGGTAGAACCAAGATCCTTGGGGGGGGGGGCGGATGGACAACCAACCATGGTTTTGAAGTATTTACACAGAACTTGACTGATAAATTAAAACATAAGTCTACAGAACCTCAGCTTTCATCTGCATGCAGTGTTTTTGAAGAGAAGCAGAGAGATCCTGTTTAGATGCCAGAATTAGGTGGATGGAGGAACGGAAAAATAATTTCTGCAAAAGCGAAGTAGTAAGGTTGCATTGCAGTTTGATGCCTATATTCTGCCCTGACTCAACAGTTCTGTGTCCCATGTGTGATTTGCCCCTAAATAGAAATGGCAGTCTTTTCACTTCAGCAAGGATACAGTGTTATTAACTCACAAAGGATGCATGGGCAGACCTTGTGTAATGTTTAAGTAAATGAAGAAATGTCAGCTCATGTGTTGTTCTACATGCACATCAAGTGAAGCTTTTCAGAATCACAAATGCATAAAGACTTTTTTTAAAGGTTAAAATTAGCCATCTAAAAATACAATTGAAATCTATTAGTTAGTATTATA